GGCTGGCAACGAGCCCAGCGTGGCCTATGTGGTGGTCTTCTCCGCCGCCATCCTTCTGACGTTGGCGCTGATGGCGGCGTGCAACCGGACTGGTTTCCGTCAGGACCACATGTGGGTGGTGTGCTATGCGCTCATCCTGCTGGTGCTGCTGGTGCAGGTCGTGGGCGTGCTGTTGGTGCGGCCCCGAGACGCCTCGGAGGGCATCTGGTGGACCGTCTTCTTTATCTACGTGGTCTACACGTTGCTACCCGTCCGCATGCGAGCCGCCGTGTTCACCGGACTGCTGCTGTCCGCCGTGCACGTCGCCCTGTCCTGGATGCAGAACAACATGGATCCCTTTCTCTGGAAGCAGGTACAATTTCAATTTTTATTTTTTGTAATTTGTGAATTTTTCCAGCTAATCTTTTATTCCATTTTAATTATTTAAAAAATATTTTTTAAATAGCTTTATATTTTCCTAGTGTTTGTGTATGACTATTCCTATATATAGTGCATTTTTTTCCCCCCTCCCCTATTGTGTAACATTTTTTAAAAGGATCTTTCTTGTGTAATGTTTTTTTGGGGGGTATTTTTTTTTAATTTTTTTTTTTTTTAGGTTACAAATGGCTACCCAATTTGGTGCCTATGCGCCAAAACAAATACGTGTTGATTAGTAACGATGTTGTTTTTTTCTTTATTGAACAATGAGCCTTGAAATTCTGACCTGTCTAATCTCCTGGGAAATATTCCGCATGGGACCCTGAGACTTTTTGCTGAATCTTTTTACATCGACTTGTCCGCCCAAATTTCGAGTCGATTGGTGAAAGTGCTGCTGTCCAGTATATGCTACATTGTTCTTCACAATCCGACAGCCATCTGTTGTGAATCAACACGTTATGACCGAGCAGGAGTTCAATTAAGACCCTGTTACCACTGGACCCTTGCCAACGAGGACCGTTTATGTTCCCTCCACTGGGATGCTAAAGGGTTTTTTTTTTGAGAGAGGAGGTGGGGGGTATCCCACGGGAAAAATGGGGCAACAAAAACAGCCCCCTGAGAGGAAAAAAAACGCAGAGCGTCATTCTTGTCAATTCTCCTATGTTTTATCTGACGATACAGAGCAGGACATTGTTTTCCAAAGTAAATGCAAATGTCTTATTTTGATTCAACGCAAAGATAATCAGACTGCTTTCAATGGCGGAAGACAGAAATTGGAGAATATTTACTGCTGAGAAAATTCGGAGGAGTTGTGGAATTTCAAATTAAAAAAAAAAGGTCAACGATGGATCAACTGTCAACAGCAAAATTTTAATTGAGATGACTTTCTGTCTTCCTCAAAATATTTTTGACACTGATTTTAAAAAATGTCGACTTTTTGTCTAGCACATCAGGTTTTTGCGATATTTTCATTTTTTGTTTGACCTATAAAAGCTTGCGCAATACGGACTTTACCATGTGTTGTCATTCATAGCGTTTCATAGAGGTTTCAGGAAAAGAAAAACATCATTCATAAATATTACTTATTATATTACTATATTTTATGATATTATTATTCTGAAAACCTAATTATTTTTTGTTTGTTTGTTTTTGGGACTCATCAAAATGTCTTGCTCGTTACACCCTTCTGCAAAGCTTCGGGGAAACTGGTTGCGCTGTTTTTACGTAGAGCCAGTTTCTCCAACAACTATCATGTGACTGATCCTGGAGTTGGCCGACACCTGGAATAACGTTGGCAACTGCACGACCAAATATTTAACGTCGTCGCGTCACAGCGTAAAAATAAAGCTCGGACCGCTGACAACTTCCGAGACGACTTGACTTTCACATAAGGCGCTGGGCGGTGAAATGCTAACAACAACAATGCTAGTGTGGGAAGAATAAACGCTTGCAGCTTTCCCACCGGTTCAAGACGCCTTCGCGCAAACACAACATCAACGAGCGAAAATACTCAAATAGTCTGATAAGGATGTCAAATATGTGTGGGTGTATTCCAAAACTGAGATGAATAGTTATCATTTTGGTTTGACACAAACTCCTATTCGGGATTTCGCCCAATACCCAAATGAGCCCTAATCAGAAGCATTTTTGTATTTTCTAACATTATTTTTTTCTATAGTCTGCCTCTTCACTCTGTTCCATGGAAAACTGCAAATGCCCCCTTTTTTGGGGGGACATTAGGATTAGGTTTAGCGTGAGGTCAATAACAAACGAGCACCTGACTGCTCTTGTTTGAATCCATTGCTTTTTCTGTTCCTCTTCCATTGCTTTCTGCCGTGTCCAGTCTCTGTGACCGCGACTTGTTTTTCTCTCTTGCTCCACAATCCCAGTGAGATCTACTCGCGCCGTCTGTGGTTGCTAATGCTGTGTACTGTACAAGCTGATGAATAGTAGTCAGCCTGGCAGATGCTGTTCATGTTTAAAAGCAGCAGTGTCTGTTTTAGCAACAGAAAAAGCATCATGGCAGGCTTTTACGTCACACTGGTCAATTTGTCTCCGAACAGAACCTCTTTATCTTTAGTCCAATGAGCTTATTGTCTTAAATGATGTCTTTAAAAACTAGTATTTAGCAAGGCGGCTACTGGCTACTTGCATCAGTCGCTAATGCAGCCTTGGTTTGTCCATCTTATCTGTGCTTGAGCGTTTTGGTTGGCTGCTTGCCTGCCAGTGAATGGTTAGCCATGTTGCTAACACAAGAAATGGTTTATGATGCTAACGCAGCAGGTGTTTTTTAGCCATGTCGCTAAACTAGCGAGTGGTTAGCCGCGTTTCTGTATCTGTAGCCTAAACATGCTGGTTCACAAAAACAAAAGGTGTTGTAACGTGAACATGAACATTGGTAACACGCACACATTTGGTCATGCTGCTAACACAAGAAATGGTTTGCTGTGTTTTGAACATATCAAGCAGTTAGCCATGTTGCTCAAACGCACGGTTAGGCACGTGGCTAATGTGCATATTTCGCCATATTGCTCACAGTAAATTAAAAACATTTAGACATGTAGACTTTTGTTTCGCATTTGTGACAAAAAGAATGCTGCTACCACTTGAAGTTAATAGTCAAGATGAAATAAATGCACACTTGGCGGGTTAACCAGGGGGTCCTTTGTGTGATTTATTGTATATGGTGATGCATTAAGATTATTTATTTATTGATTTGCATGAAATACAAAACTACAGCTCAATTTTGGAGTGACATGAGAGCAAAAAAAGAAAGAAAGAAATAAAGCATCACAGTCTGCCATTGTTAAAGCGACACGAGGAGTCCAGCCGGCAGGCTCTGTTTTGTGCTATCATGCAAACAGTTTTCGCAATCAACTGACTGAATGCTGACTTGATTTCCAATACAAAACCACCACTGTACATGTTATAAAATCGACATGGTCATTGCTGGGAGCTACAGCTGAGCGCGTAACCTTCATTGTGAGGCCACATGAAAGCTTCCTGGCATGAGGAGGGCAAGGCGGTGGGCATGGTGCCCACCTCCAATTACCCTCACACATGGAATGATGCCATTTGGAGTGCATCAGCCGGGTGAAAATTGACATTTGTTAGTGGTTTGAAGATTCAGCCCACACTGGTTTCACGTGGCAACGCAGCATCTGGAAGGCATGTTTGTCATGAGGAGACCCACAAAAAAGTCTTAAGAACCCATACCTTGTAAAAAAAGAACATAGGAAGTCAGCCATTTTGGTTTGAAGCGGCCACTTTGATTATTTCATGAGGTTGTTCACATTTTTTTGAAATGGTTCAGCTTCAGTTTGAAGTTGCCAAATTGGTCACTTGCTGTATTCTATTGAATTTTGGGGGGAAAATTCAGCCACCAAAGCCGGGTTCATGTAACAACATGGCATTTGGGTGGAGAGTCTTTTATGAGCAAACCCACTAAAACGTATGAAGAAGTCATGCCTGAAGAGGTCTGACATTTTGCTCTGAAGGTCTCATTTAAACTTCATTTTGGCCGTTTCAAGGGGTCTTTTAAATTATTTGACAATTCCGCCTCAGAACCCAGTTTATTCGGCAACATGAAATTTTGTAGCTGAGTCTATCACAAATAGATCCACGAACAAAGTTTTGCAAAAACCATGCCTTAAAAGACAGGCGAAGACTGCCATTTTGGTCTGGAGGCGGCCTTTTAATGTTTCGTCCATTTAGATTTTTTTTTTTTAAATTCAGCCCCTTAAATCAACTTGACTTGCCAACATGAAAGTGTCTCGGCATGTCAACTGTGGGTACACCCACAAAAACCTCTTCAGAATCCACGCCTGAAACGACACAGGAAGTCAGCCGTTTTGATTTTAAAAATATTGAGGTCACTTTGGTAATTTCAATGGGACTTTCAATTTCATTTTTTTTTTTCCAATTGAGCCCCCAAAGCCAGTTTTGTTTCGCTATTTGAAATTTGGTAGGCATGTCTGTCATGAGTAGATCCTCAAGAAAGAGCCCCCCCAATATTATTAAACATTCACTCATTAATGACTAGTCAATTAGCTGATAGCTAATGCACTGCCTGCTAAACTAGCTGTGAATTCCGTAAAATTTTGCCGCTTGAATGTCTCGGTGTTTTGATACGTTTTGACAATTCTCGCCAAATAAAATACGTGAACTGTCCGTGACAATGAGTCTATAAAAGGATACAATTTCCATTCCCACAAGAGTATGTGTACATTTCTGACAAAATCTGATCAATTATCTACGAAATGACGTCAGAAAGCGAGTGCTAATGGATCTGAGCTGACGAGGTCCTCAAAGAGGACGGGAACATCCCGCTTTAACTCTGCTGAATGGCCACATGATTAAAGGACGCTTAAGTGCTGGGGGTCGTCTCTGCTTAAACACGGTGTGACCCGATGTCGTGAATCACCGCCGAGCACGCTGATAATGCTCCGTTAGGGAAAATTAACGATACATGTGGGCCGAGAGGGACGGAAAGAGAAAGAGACAGAGTAGTGTCGCACTAAAAATATGAAATTCAGGTTTAATGGTGAGTCAGCAGACTTTGCCTTTATGCTATGCCCACGGACAATGATCACAAACGCAAATGTGTTGCCCATTTGTGTACTTTATGTACTTCACATTTATAAGTATTGGGGCAAAAGTATCTATTTTTTTTAAGCATACTTCAAATGGACAAAAATACTGCTTCAAACAAAAATGGCATATACTTCCAGTTGTTTCTGGCATGACTTTTTCAGCCTTTTTTGGGGTCGGTCAACTCATGACTGACAAGCCTTCCAAATTTCAAGTCGAAAAGTATGATGAGCTCCAAAGGGCTGAACTTTTAAAGAAATTGAAGGACACCCAGAAATGGCCGAAAATGACCCTAAAGTGGCTGTTTTAAAGCAAAATGTACACTTATTGTGTCTTTTGGAGCATTGCTGCTTGAGACTTTTTTTGTGGGTTTGACCATGAGACAAATGGTTCATGTTGCGAAGTGAATGGGGGTTTGTGGGCTGAATTTTCCAAGAAATCGAAAGACCTTTTAAAATAGCCAAAAGACACAAAAATGGCTGCTTCAAATCAAAATGGCAGACATCCTGTCTTTCCGGGGATGGCTTCTTGAGAATTTTTGGCACGTCTACCCATGATAGACAACCATCCATCCATCCATTTTCCGATCTGCTTATCCTCACAAGGGTCGCGGAGGGTGCTGGAGCCTATCCCAGCCGTCTTCGGGCAGTAAGCGGGGGACACCCTGAACCGGTTGCCAGCCAATCGCATGTTCAATCAGCCCGCCATGCTAATTAGCGCAATGTACATTATTTGTCGATTGATTACGACGGTACACGATGGGTTAGTGTTGGTTATGAGTTATTTAGTGGTTGTGAAAGTGTTCAGCCTCAGTGTGAAAGGAGCTTTAAAAAAAAAATCATGTGAGTGCTCTTTTTTGATCCTCTTGAGTTCACAATGAGGTTGAACAGTTAGCGCATGACCCGCATTACCTCCTGCAGGGCCACAATGCGCATACTGTGCTGCTATCGATACAAACCGCTAACCCCATCAAACAAAGTCACAAATTGTTACATCTCGTGAAAGCAAACAAGAAATCTTTTCTTTATGGAATGCAATTTTTTACTGTGACTGTCATTTCCCTCAGAAGCTGGAAGCAATGAGTCTTCCACCGTTAAATGTTGGAAGAAGCGCCGCTTTGTTCGACACCGACACTGTACGGCGGTAACGCTAATCATGTGTTTGAGCCTCCTTATAAGCAAGGATAAATAAGAGATTGTGGATTTAGACGAGTCATTGAAATTACACACGACCTTAAGAAATGATGCTGAAAATATGCAATGACCATTTCAATTACATTTTTTTTTCCTGAAACTGGCAAGATGACTCAAAATACATTTGTTTTCTAAATGTATTTGAATCTTATTTCGAATAATGTAATTTAATGTATCTTTTATACAATTGTAAAATAATTACATTGAATTATACATTTGTTTTAATAATTCTCATAATTTTTTTCCCCTAATTGGTCAGCATGAAGTCTTGATTGACATTTGCTGTTAGCCGCTTCATTAGGTACGCCTTGTTTATCCAACATTGGCGCTTCCCTGCCGTCGCTCGTCCGCCTCCTCCTCCTCCCCGGGGGAACGACAGTCGTGTTGTTCCAAGTCTCGAGGAGGAAAAGCCCGTGCGCTCCAAATAAGGGAGGCGTGGATATTAATAGAAGAGCCCGCGTTTGTGTCGTGTGTTGACCTGTTGACTAGACGAAGACTTTATCTGATGCACGGAGCGTTGCCTCGGCAACCAGGAGGCGGGGGAGGGCCAGGTGCAGGAAGCTTTGGTTATGTCTTTTGTTGAAGCGGTGTTTCGGCCGCTGACAGGCGCAACGGAGCTATTTGGAGTGGCACACTTCAGTTGTTTTGATGAGGAACGGCGGATCCGTGTGGGGACTCCATGTTGCCAATTTGCGGTGTCAAATATTGCATTCGCATGCGCTCAGAGTTTGTTTAAGCTCATCTGTCATGCTCGCTTTTGAATTCTAATAAACTTTTTTTTTTTTTTTTGCTTGTGGAAAAAATGGTTTTAAGGTGAAATATTATCTTTGCTTGCCAAATATATTTTTGATGAAGACAGTCAAACCGAAAGCCTACTTGAACAGCTGAACTTCATTTTGGGGTGGGGGTCATTAAAATGGTGGCAGTGGTGTACCGACTCCCATTTAACACTAATTGTGATGCGATTGCTCCATTTTGAACATGGCCACACCCCCAAGATGTGCGGGTGTGCACACTTGTGCAACCACATGATCTCAGTTGTTTACTTTCGCATACTTTAACTTCTCTTGAGTTGTACAGGATATACTGTTTTCATTAATCACTTTTTTTTTGCGATGATAAAAAGAAAACTATATGTTGTTAATAGGGGCAAAATATACATTTTTGGTCAATTACTGCTTTTTTTTTTAAGTTGTTTGAGGTTTTGTTCAGATAGCGGACAAAACATGTTGGTATGTTTGGTTTGTGGCGCACACAGAAGGAAGAATGGCGTTGTTGTTCTGCGGTGTTGCAAGTAGACACGCAGGAATTTTCCTGCACGGCCCCCGTCATTGATTATCGATACATTCTTGTGTGCTGACTGGAGTGGATGTGAAAAGATCTTTTGTGTGCCTGATTGTCGTTTCGGTTGGATATCAAGCTCGAATAGCACCGTTGTACAGAAGCGTGCGACTGCCAATGTGGAGTCAACATTTTTAACATTTAACATTCGAACGTAATGCAAAATTGTTTGAATGTATTTTAATATGTTTGATCGTATTTAATAATCGTTAGAACGCATTGGTAAAAATATTTCATTTTCGTTGCCAATATCATTATTTTGTGTCAAAGAAAGGTGGGTGTTTTTATGGGGGGGGGGGCAGACTCGTTGTACAAGATGTTGAATGTTGTCTGTGTTTGCGCACCGCAGCTGGTGTCCAACATGCTGATATTCTTGTGCACCAACATCGTGGGTGTGTGCACACATTACCCGGCCGAGGGCTCTCAGAGGCAAGCCTTTCGGGAGACGCGGGAATGCATCCAAGCTCGCCTGCACTCGCAGCGGGAGAACCAGCAGCAGGTGAATAACATTCCGCAATTATTTAGGGATTATTGTGAACACGCCGCAGTCATTCACCCCGCGTTACACACAAGGTCAGCGTGGTCGGAAATGTGTTTTTGTTTGTTTTGTGTATATTTTATTTTTATTTTTTTTACCTGAAGGAGCGTCTGCTGCTGTCGGTGCTTCCCCGCCACGTCGCCATGGAGATGAAGGCGGACATCAACGCCAAGCAGGAGGACATGATGTTTCACAAAATCTACATACAGAAGCACGACAACGTCAGGTACAAAATGATGCAAAAGAAACGGCAACAAATTGACTATTGATGAGGAAAAAAAAATGAGGATAATTCAATTTTGTAACTACTGCTAGCCAAGGAAGGGTATTCAAGAATTATTAAGGTTAACATGAGCTAGCTTGCAAGCCACCACTGCAAATGGGTTGTGACAGCGTTAGTCAAGGGTAACTTGGCTAATTGGGCCCGCTGATTGGCGGCAACAGGAAGCCTCCTGTCGCCGCTGCTGGCTAACACCTTTTAGCGCAGTAGCATTAGCCTGTGAGCGCATGACCGCATTTTGAGTGTTGATGTTATGCAGGCCTACAGTGAGGGAGGGTGGGGGGGAGGGACAGAAAGAAAGAAAAGTTCATTTGGAGGTCATTAGCTCATGACTCAAAAAAAAAAAAAATCACACATGGCAGCCAGTGAAAACAATCACGGCTGCTGTGAGAAACAAACACATGACAACGTAGCCTAAACAAAACGACACCCCCCAAAAAATGCCTGAAATAATTTGGATGCTACACTGCTGTGTTACGAGGAGACTGGATTGTTTGTTGCTGTCTTGTGTGGTCATTAAAGTTGATGGACCAGCCAGGTATACGCTTTGGTGATTAGGCACGTTAACATTTGTCGATTCAGCAGCTGCCATTTCGGTACGTTAGCATTATCGATTCGGCGGCCGCCGTGTCGATTCATCGTTCAGAAACTTGCAACCGAGCAAAACAAAATCGCTGCTGATTTTGGGATCATCATAAAAGAGGACGCCGGGAATTCCATGAATCAGTTTTTATATCTTCGCATGAATGTCGTTTTCTAGCATATATATATATATATATATATATATATATATATATATATATAAAATCTATGTCTGTCGCTGTACACACAGACCAAACCCTTGCGGCAGCGCAATCATGTGCCACTCATGAGATTAGCGTGACTTGTTTAGGGGTTTATGTCTTGAGGACGTTTGTGACTGTAGCACAATAGATCCCTGTTGGTGTTCACCGCCGTGCTTTCGTCGTTTTCATGACATCAAGTCTCTTTTCGTTTAAATACAGCACAAGAAATCCCTCCTCATTTTGGAAGATGTACTGTCCAACATCCCTGACAGGAAAATGAGCTCACATTTGAAAGTGTTTTCGTTGTTGTTGTTGTACTGCTTTTTTTCCCATCAATCCGTCCAAAAAATGCTTTTTTTTTTGGTTTTGTTTGTGTAGCATCTTGTTCGCAGACATCGAAGGCTTCACAAGTTTGGCGTCGCAGTGTACGGCTCAGGAGCTCGTCATGACGCTGAACGAACTCTTTGCTCGCTTTGACAAGTTGGCAGCGGTAAGTACGCAAGTGCGCTCGTGTATTGCTGTGGTCTTAAAACCTGACGTCGTCTAAGTCGCAATTATACAAACCATCAATTTTGACAAAGGTGATACAATGAATGACAAGGTAACATATCGAGGCTGAAATCCAATTAGACATTAAAAAGAAAAAACAGCAAAGTGAAATGCGATGGAAAAAAAAAAAAGACTTCGGAGATACCTCGCATGTATTGATGCGCACGTTTCTGATGTGTCCTCAGGAGAATCACTGCCTCCGCATCAAGATCCTTGGTGACTGCTATTACTGCGTGTCGGGCCTTCCCGAGGCCCGTGCTGACCACGCCCACTGCTGCGTTGAGATGGGCCTGGACATGATCGAAGCCATCTCGTAAGACGACCACGTCGTCGTGCCTCTGCTCGCATTATTCAGACGCCGTGCAGAGAGCCAAACGTAGTTGTCAGAATCGTCCAATCAGAATGCCGTGATGTCGCGGCTGTGCAGTTCTTGGCCACTAGGGGGTGTCTTCACATGCTAGCTGTGTAACCCACTGTTGTGTGTTTCACCCTCGCCCCCTCCAAGGCTGGTCCGGGAGGTGACGGGCGTCAACGTGAACATGCGGGTGGGCATCCACAGCGGGCGCGTCCACTGCGGCGTGCTGGGCCTGAGGAAATGGCAGTTTGACGTCTGGTCCAACGACGTCACGCTCGCCAACCAGATGGAGGCTGGCGGGAAAGCGGGGTACGGAAAATACAAGAACGGATAAAACTGGCCGCGGGACTGAATTCAATTCGTCGGGGTTTAGGTGACCCTGAAGTTTGGTCCCAGGTCTTAGCCGCCACGATAAGCCCAAACGGATTTGCCCCAAGTTGACGACATCAAACGGAAACTTGCAGACGAGCAAACAACAATCAAATCAAATGAGTTCCTTTTTTTTTTCTTTCTGCTTTTCGGTTTTCAATCGAAAATGTAAACTGTCACTTCAGGCGCATCCACATCACCAGGGCCACGCTCAACTATCTGAACGGCGACTACGACGTGGAGGCGGGAGCGGGAGGCGAGAGGAACGCTTACCTGAAGAGGAACAGTATCGAGACGTTCCTCATCGTCGGATGCAGCCAGAAGAGGGTAAGAGAGTCTTCCTCCCATGTTGTTTTGATTCCAAGAAAACGAACCTCCTGTCACGGTCAAAACAGAAGCGAGACATAAATACATCAAAGACGGCTCTCTGTGGTCATCATTTGAACGTTGGCGTTTTAGCCACCCCAAAACTTCCAATACGTTGTGAGCCGTGTGTGTGTGTCTGTGTGTGTTCGTTCACCTGCGTCAGAAAGAGGAGAAGGCGGTGATCGCCAAGATGAATTGTCACCGGGCGAACTCGGTGAGTCACAACAGCAGCCACTGGACGGACAGACCTTTCTACAACCACCTGGCTAACAACAACCAAATCTCCAAGGAGATGAAGAGGATGGTAAGTGAGGCGCGGTTGATTTATCCGTCTCTTTTGGCCCGACATTTTCAACTGTCCATGTTGTCATAGCGACCGTAACATTTAGCATTGACATTGTTTCTCAATAGGATGATTCAATTTGGGGACCTCGTACAGTCACACAGCCTTGGGGGTCTTTAGCTTTAACCTTGAATGTGCTGCAATCAGTTTTTTGTTGGGGTTTTTTTGGACATACTGGTAGTGTTTTGGAAGCTAAATAACACATTGTTAACAACACAGAGTATGCAAAACGTACCTTAAAAATGTATTTCTTTTCTAAAACTCAAAATAGCGAATGGATATCCGGCTTGAAAAATCAGTTTGCCGTCTATCTAGAAATCGGGTCTCCTCCTGTATTTGATTTGTTTTTGTTTCACATACATGTCAAAAAAATAAGTGATGCCGATTCAAATGTCACTCACTGTGCCACCCAAGAGGCAGTTAACAACACACTAGCCAAATAACGAATGAATAAGTGACCTGAAGCTTTCTGTGAATGAAATCAAACTAACTTAAAAAAAATATATATAAAAATAATTAAAAACGTTTTGAATGAGAGTATACAGTAAGTGCAGTACGTGAGGTGAAGGAGCACTGACGCGAGTCTCATTCTGACTTTACTAATGAACCAAAGCAACACAATCGACTTTGTGTTAATGTGCTAAATTGATCAGCACTGAGCTGCTTGCTACCATGGCAACAGTCGGCACCTGACCCAGACGGGATGTTTTTGCATGTGATTAGGCTTTCATTGATTGGACGCAGACAAAATGTTCACACATGCGCACATCACCACCACCACCACCACTACTACTTTCCTCATCCCTGTCATTGAATCCCGTCCTTTTCATTACATCAAGTCTCTTTCAATCCGTCACGCCTCCTTTAATATCTTTTTCCTGGAATAACGTCTTTTAATGTATGTCATGGCCCGTACATGACCTCGTCTTTTTCACAGAATCACGCATTTTTCATGATCTCATGTTTCTTTCTTGTGCATCGCAGGGCTTTGAAGACCCAAAGGACAAGTGAGTTTTTAAAGTATTTACACACACACACACACACACACACACATACATGTATATATTAGTTGTGACACTCTGGGGGAGTTCCCTTGATCTCCACCGTTAGCTCGTGGTGGTTTTTTTCCGGTCTTCCTGTTGCCAAGGATACCCTCCACGTACACAAGCGAGACGCCTACACCAGCTCGCCATAAGACTTACAGCTTCAAAGCGGACACCCGGGGGCGCGGGAAGCGCGTTTGCCTGTGGTACGAGTGGATCGTAAAAAAAGTTAACCGCAGTTGTAGGCGCAGTCTTAAGAAAAAGGGTTCTCTAAAGTTGATATACAAAAAAAAATATCGTGAGAAGTAGTGCGTTCAAGTGCAGTGAAAGATGTTTTGGAAAGTCGATGCAAAAAGGCTTCAAGAAGTGAAGATGTTCTCGATGGGGCACGTTCAAGTTCAGTCGTAACGAAGGAAATTCTACTCTGTTAAGTTGCAGCAGTTAAAAAAAAAAAGATGTGTGATGTGTTCAGGTGCAGTCATTATAAAAAAAAAAATATGAGAAGCGAGGTGTTCAGGTACAGCAGTAAAATTAAGCGTCGCATTCAGGTCGAGTGGGTAAAACATCGGGTAAATGTGACATTTCTTTTGTTTGAGCCTTTTTTTTTTTTTGCTGTTCAGACACGCGCAAGAGCACATGAACCCCGAGGACGAAGTGGACGAGTTTTTGGGCCGAGCCATCGACGCCCGCAGCATCGACCGCCTCAGGTCGGAACACGTCAGGAAGTTCCTGCTCACCTTCAGGGAGGCCGACCTGGAGAGCAAGGTTCCGCACTGGTCCTCCTCCTCTTCTTCTCGACGCCGATAATCGTAACGCAAATATGATTTTTGATATTTGCGGCGCAGTACTCCAGACAGGAAGACTCTCGCTTCGGGGCGTACGTGGCGTGCGCCTCTCTGGTCTTCCTCTTCATCTGCTGCATACACGTCGTCGTCGTGCCTCCGTGAGTCACACGCACATGCAACAATATTGATCTGCAAATATTTTTGTAAGATGAAGTGAAGCACTTGATTGCTTGACATTCTTATCAAGCAAGGAAATTGACACAGGAAAGCTACATACAAAATATGTTCTCTGGAATATATTGATGTGTTCAGGTGCAGTTGTCGAAAATAAATAAATTTCAGACTAATAATAATCGTCATCATCACATTTGCAGCTCGGGCGTGATGAGGGGCTTCTTCACATGCTGCCTGATCCTCCTGATGGCGCTCGTGTTCGTATCCAGCGTGTACTGCTGCTACGGGGTGAGTCGCCGCACCTAATCGTTTGGTCCTAAAACGCGAGTAACCGCCCGGGGGGGGTGGTGTTTAGGTGTTCCCAGCGGCCCTGCAGACCTTTTCCAGGAGGATCGTTCAATCGCGTCTCAATAGCACCCTGGTGGGCGTGGCCACCATCGTGGTGGTCTTCCTGTCAGCCTTCGCCAACATCGTGAGTGGCGTGAGCTTTTCGGTGGTGCTTGGCCATTGGCCCCTGCTTGAGCTTTTGAAAGCCTCTTTCCTCAGTTCAGCTGCAGTGGGCACGACCTTCGCGGCTGCATCGGGGCGGAGCTTAATATCAGCCGGGATGCGGTGGACGCCTGCCACGCCCAGTTACTTAACTACAGCCTGGATGCACAGATGGGACCCTGTGGGGACCAAGCACCCTTCTGTGGATTTCCCGAGGTACAACAGAACCACCGGAGTAGTTAAAAAAAGGTTGTTGGGGCATGGGGGGGGGGGGGTTTGAGGGGTCCAGATTTAGTTGTAAAACATTCTCGAGTTACAATGCATTCAAGTGCAGATGTAAAAAAGCCAATGTTGTGGTTTCGCCACATTTTAAAAATGTGACAGGTTCAAGTACAGTCGTAAAGGAAGACGTGAGGCGTTCATGGGCAGCGTTAAAAATGAGTTTGCCGCTTTTTTGTGTGTGTGTGTGTTCCTCAGTACTTTTCGTGGTGCGTGGTGCTGAGCCTGCTGGCGTGCTCGGTGTTCCTGCAGGCACACAGCCTGGGCAAGCTTGTGCTCATGCTGTCAATGGAGCTGCTCTACCTTCTGATTGTGGAGCTGCCGCGGGCCGCGCTCCTCGACAACCGCGACCTCCTCGCCGTGGCCAACGCCGCGTGAGTTCTCGGTCCAACGACCTGTCGCCACGGAGGTGTTTTTATGCAGTGGAATCCAGGGTTGAATAAAATGGCTGCTAAGAAACCCTACGTTGCCAAAAGGAAGTCGCAGCGGCTGTGTCCACCCCCCCGACTCCCGTATCACTCGGTTGTTTAAATGAAGCTCCTCGGTTCACTTCAACATTGTTCATCAGGACCCAAACGCTGCAAGATGGGGTCGAATCACGACATTTGTATGAAGCTCCTCACTTGAACATTTCTTTGCACTGTGATGGCAAAAAAGCACATTTTTTTTCAAAACGACATTTGTCAATTTAATAGTTCCTTGGCACCAAGAAAACAGCAAATCAGTATTTCTCTTGACGCACGTCAGTTCACTTCAACAAAGTTCCCAGCCCCAGGATGGCAGCAAAGCACTGCTTTTGTCTAAAAGCAACCCCTCAACTCATACATACAGTAGTTCCTTGGTACCAAAGATCCAACGGCAGCCTCCATGTATATATATGCATTTGTGTCGATGAAGGTCTGACCTTTTTGTTCTCTTTTGTTCCTCTTAGCGAGCACGTGAATGGAACCAGGTGAGATCAACACGTCGTTGCCCTTTACTGAAACAGAGCCTAAAAGCTTGTTTGTGTGTGTGTATATATGTGCATCCCGCAGCTGCGTGGCGGAGTCGAAGGTGCCTCTGAAGATCATGACGCCCGTGGTCATCACTGTCTTCGTGCTGGCACTCTACCTGCACGCCCAGCAGGTGGAGTCCACGGCCAGACTCGACTTCCTCTGGAAGCTGCAGGTCTGTAATGTAGTCGTGCTGTATTAGAATATACGGTAGTCAAAGAAGAATCTCCAAATCATTTTTTTTTTTAAACCACGACACCAATTTGAACTGTAACCAAAGGTAAGACTTGTCTTGTAATGCATTGAGGTCCATTTGCAAAAAAGCAGTTTTCAAATTATTGTTAATATGAAGAGCGTTAAAAACAAAACTGTTATGAGTTGCAACTGAATCCACTAAGTGTGATGTGTTGAAGTGTGGCATTTGTGTGCAGGCGACGGAGGAGAAAGAGGAGATGGAGGAGCTGCAGGCATACAACCGTCGGCTGCTGCACAACATCCTGCCCAAGGACGTGGCGGTGCACTTTTTGCAGCGCGAGCGCCGCAACGACGAGCTCTACTACCAGTCGTGCGAGTGCGTGGCCGTCATGTTCGCCTCCATCAGCAACTTCTCCGAATTCTACGTGGAGCTGGAGGGAAACAACGAGGGCGTCGAGTGCCTCCGGCTCCTTAACGAAATCATCGCCGACTTTGACGAGGTGACGAAAAGACGCTCCGATGCACTGACTTAACACTGTGCCTGAACACAAAACGCGAGACGATGTGCTGCATTCGGGTGCAGTCGTAAGAAAAGCGTCATGTAGGATTGTACTGCCCCCTGGTGGCACATGCGTGCTCACCAGAAGAGCGGCACAAAATAACCAATTAAATTGAAGAATGAGATCATGTTGTCCAAACTGAATTATTCACATTCCATTATTATTACCGCATGATTTTACTAAGTCCAGTACTCTAGACTGTCCCCCGCCAAAATTAACGAGCGTGTTGACGTTTTGGCAGATCATCAGCGAAGACAACTTCCGTCAGCTGGAGAAGATCAAGACGATCGGCTCGACGTACATGGCTGCGTCAGGCCTGAACGCGTGCACGTACGACAAGGCGGGCCGCTCGCATATCCGCGCCCTGGCCGACTACGCCATGCGCCTCATGGAGCAGATGAAGTACATCAACGAGCACTCCTTCAACAACTTCAAGATGAAGATCGGTAAGGACTACCGTGCGCCTGCGATCTCCCGAAGAACGCTAAAGATGTCTCACCCTACTCCCCTCCCTCGTGCTCTGTCAGGTCTGAACATGGGCCCCGTGGTGGCTGGCGTGATCGGGGCCCGGAAGCCTCAGTACGACATTTGGGGCAACACAGTCAACGTGGCGAGCCGCATGGACAGCACCGGCGTGCCCGAGAAGATACAGGTGCAAAAATGACGTTCAGTTGTAGCATACACCTGATGAAATGCTGTAAATAGGAAGGGGTTGAATTTCGACAAAAAGTAATACTTTGAAAATGTGGATATGAGTTGAGGATTTCCATTGAGACAAAAGTGGTAATTTGTCATGTTATAGTGAGTTGAGGATTTTCATTTTGACAGGAGTGCTCTGGAGCAGAGGAAGTATACCAATGTCAGTTGAGTATTTCATTCAGCCAAAAGTAGTGCTTACGCTCCGCTATGGTGCCCAGGAACTATGTTGAAGCGAGTTGTCAGACAAAAGTAGTGCTTTGGTGCCTGCACAACAACAACAACAACAGCCACGTTTCGAGATTTTTTGTTTTTAGCAGGAGCACAGTGGCCCCTAATCTGAAATGAAGGTGGTGTATATGAATCACAAATTGCATCTGTAGAGCCCCCCCACCCCTAATCGCTACATATTGCGCAAAGGTTCCCCAACCCCCCAAGTCTTGCTAACTTGTCTTCCTTTCTCTCAGGTGACTGCTGACTTGTACCAGGTTCTGAACTCCTACAATTACTCGCTGGAGTACCGAGGTGTGGTGACAGTGAAGGGCAAAGGCGACATGATGACCTACTTCCTCAACAGTGGACCCTCCCACAGCAGTTAAGGCACTTTTTTTTTCCCCCTGGACCTTCAAGGGGCCACGTTGGAAGACGTTCAACTGGACTGACAGCAAGTTGAAGTCACCCCCCGCCCCCAGGAACTCATGGACAGAGAGAATAAGTTAAGACCAAAGAAGCCAATCAAAGCTCATTTCCAATGAGCCAAAGTCCGACGTCTTCTGAGCTTCTGAACGCAACGCGAGCATCCCTTTCCTGTTCCTCACGCTGTCCACTTGGAAGCAAAAAAAAAAAAAAAAATACGATGTCAGCAACAGATGCTTTTATAACTTTTGGAACACCAAATTCTATATTTTGTACAAAAACATAACGTATTTGTCATGTACTTATATTGAATTGAACACTCTGGCAATGTGGCAGCCTGCCAAATAGATAGAGCGCACCCCCCCACGATGGTACGACCCAGTGAATGTCTAATTGAGGCCTTTTACCTTCATCACTTTACACGAAAAGTATTCAACACTACAGCTGGTTCTGTTACATTTTTAAGTTTTGAATACAATTTTGGTGACCCCAAAAATGATTTTCAGATCATTTCAACTGGATGAGTTGTTTTGGGAGTATTTTTCATACAGAGCAGAACTCGTAAAATCAGGGAAATACGCCAGTCGGGATGCTTTTAATGTGACTTTATAAAACACAAAGTATAAAGGAGATGTTTTATTGTTCTTTTTATGAATGGCCGACGAAAGTAATAAATGAACCAATTGTCCCATTTGAGGATTACTCACTCTTTGGCCAGAAGATGGCAACAGATCACTACAATTGGTTTCAAAAGGCCTGACAAGCATTTTCAAACCTCAACTAAAACCTGGAAACTTTTTTTGTTTGTCATTGAACACCTCATCCCATTTAAGCAATGCCTCTTTACACATACATCCAGCAGCTACAACATTAGGGACACATATCTCAACAGGTGGTGTACCTAATAAGAGTCCGTTGTGTCTCGTTGATAAAACTTTTTGAGAGCTCTGATTGGATGCTCAACTTAACTCACAACCACCACCCAAACAATAAAACAATTTAAATCAGCACACAGTCCGTGAATAAATAAAACATCTTCAGAGTGAAAAAGAAGTGTGTTAGGCAGCATTGCATAGCTATAAAATGAAGAAAAAAAAAAAAAACGCCATTTCGGATTCTCCAAGAGTTAATCTTTCAAGACATTTTTGATTTAGAAAAACTGGCAAGCTGGCACGTTTAGGGTCGTCCGCTCTTGCAAGTCACGAGTATTGCGTCCAGGTCATAAGATGCTGTCATCGGGTTTTGTCGTCACCCGCGGTGATGCGTTCAGGGTCATCAGATGTGTTGTGGCCGTAGGACGTCCTTGTAGTCCCTCTCGTGGTGTATTCACGGTCGTCAGACTGGAGTCTTGTGGTCCGAGTTATTAAATGCTGTCCTCGTAGCTCTTGTGGCGCGCTCAGGGTCGTACGATGGCACTCTTGAGTTGCGTTTAAGGTGAAATGTAGTCACGTGAGTTGTGGTGCATTCAGGGTCTTCATCCATCATCGCGGTTGCGATTGTCAGGTGTGTTTGGGGTTAACTCATTCACTGCCGTTGACAAGTATCTTGTCAATTTTGTTTTTCAACAGCAATAAGTAGGAGGGTCTTCGGCTGCTCCACCATAAATTTCTTGGAAAAAGTCCAAATTCTCTGCTAACGGCTGGCAATGAATGAGTGTTAAAAAATGCTGTCATTAGTCTCGCGTTCAGAGATGTCAGACGTCGACTGCCTCCATTTTGTGGTCAAGGTGGTCAGATGCTATCGATGACATTTTCGTGGTGCGTTCGTCAAAGTCACCCTGGTGTCGCGTTCCGGGTTGTCGGGACGTCGTCATAGACGCTCATGTTACGTTTTAAGGTGGTCAGACTGGTGTCGTCACTTTGTGGTGTGTTCATGGTTGCCAAGATGTTTCCCTAGTTGACCTCGTGTCGCGTTCAAGGCAGTCGGATGTAGTCACTGACCTCTTGGCCTTCAGAATCCGCTCAGACGTTGTAGTCGGGCGCCTTGCCCAGGGGCTGCCTGAAGTGCGTGTGCAGCGTCATGCAGGCGGCGACGGCCACGTGGAACAGAATCTGCCACAGGTTCCTGAGCTGGAACAGGTACATGTTGCATACGCACACCAGCCCCAGCGCTAGGAACGACTTCACGTTCCTCCACCCCGTGAAGTACGCGAACAGGAAGCACTGAGGCACATAGGGAACATTCACGTTAACGTGTTAGCACATTTGCGCACTAGCGTAATAGACATGAGCCGACCTGGTAGAGGCAGGCGGCGGTGCCCAGGAAAAAGGCGATGACATAGCTGAAGTCCTCGTCCTCGTTCTGCAGGATGCTCTCGATGGCGTGGACGCCTCGCAGCAGGTTGAGGCCGCCGCACAGCACGCTGAGGACGCAAGACACGGCGCCGGGAAGCGTCAGAGGCTCCAACGTCTGTGTGGGAGCTGGACAACAACAACATTAAAGACATACAAAAGTGCATTCGTGCTGATCCATTAGTCACGCTCGCCATGTGCAGTACCGATGCCCTTGTATTTGGCGGAGTGCCGCGAGGAGAAGCCGTTGATGCCGTGAAGGTCATCGGGGGTCAGCTGGTAGGGAGGACGCAGCTTGATCTCCGTCTGCATGTCGGCCATGTTGATCTTGGTGGAGAGGGAGCGAGGGCTGTTGTAGCGATGCTTCGTCCTCTGGATCACCACGTCTGAATGCGCCAGCAGCGAAATCGGCATGTCGTCAGAGTGACGCACAGTAATAACACATCACACGCGTGGACAGAGACATACACACACAAACACCACCTTCGCAAAACACATGCATGAACAGACACACACACACAATAACAGACGTATAACATGTACACAGACTGACATAATACACAAAGCACACACACTACAGGCAAATCACAGACCAGTGTTATAATAGCTTTGGATTTCTCTATAGTTTTGTTGTTTTGACCTGCTTTTTAAATCCAGTTGTATTCGTTTTTAGAGCTGGTTTGTTTTATTTTTTTTATTAATTTTGTAATTAAGCTCCATTACGATATTGACAAAGATGAAAACAAAAATGTTTGCTACAATTAATTTTGCAATAAGATTTTCTATACGTAAAATGTAATTTCAGTCAGCTTTTGTGATACAAAAAGCATTTTTATTTCATTTCAATTCAGTAACGATGACCTTTGATGGAGAGACAAATCACACAGGGACAGTGGCACATGACCACATACAAATAAACACCCAGAGTCTCTCTCTCTCTCTCACACACACACACACACCTAAAAACGGACATTCAAAACACATTTGCTAGGTTCAACACGAAATTATTGCATCGCCCCGCATGATTCACGTGCGTCTGTCCGCAAGTCACTGCACTTTGGAGATGCGCCACCGGCCTGGCTCCCCTATTCTCCCAGCCTTCTCTGGTTTTTGGCTCAGTCCCAGCCCCGATTGGAAGCCGGCTGTGTTGCATAACTCTTATGGACCAAAGACCGCAATGATATCGTCCCGCATTGTTTTTAGTCCACCCCGCTGTTTGTGCTTGCATCGCCAGAAATGGTCAACTCGCGTTCGGTCTGACTGTGGCATTACAGAACACACAGACAGACAGGGCAAAGAGGATGATGAAGAGTAGGCAGTCACCAAATTGTATGAAGGAGTACGGCCTGATGGCAGCTCTGACGCGTTGACCGTCGTAGGTGACGATGAATTCCTTCTGGAGTTCATCCAAGAAGCAGAAGGCTAGCACGCTAGGGTAACTAGACAAACACACCATCATGTAACACACACCCAGAGCGCTCGTGAAGCTACACGCACACGCACACACAGACACACACACGCAAACACACAAAGTTGGTATTAAAACATGTCTACATTTACAGTTTGTTCACAAAATGGCTGCCTCCAATTGACCGTCATGCTGAGTAAAATAGAAACTCAAAGTGTTCGAAAAACAGAAGAAAAAACATGTCTGACAAGCAAAAAAAGCTTGTGTTTGCTTTGCTGGCAAAAACACTCCACCGTTTATCAAAACTTGAGGACACAATGTCAACTTTTAGTGCCTCCAAGTGGGCCTTGAATTTCTTAGCTTTCCTGAACACCTCAAAGGTTGCAGTGCATACTTGACATTGTAGGACCCGCTCCTGAAGGTGCATCTGTCAGGGAAGTGCGGCAGCTTCTTGGAGAGAGCCTTCATGTGCTTCCTGGTCTCGTGCAGCTCCCGGTCCTGCTCGTAGTCTGTGGATGCCGACAGCGGCAGGCCATCTTCCACGCGCACCACAGAGGCGAACAGCACGCCTGACATCTCAGTGATATAATCCAGCAAAACGCGTCCTAAGAACCCAAGGGGTGAGGAAAAAACAACACCTAAGAAATACTTCCTTCCTGGAGAACCAGACCACATCATCACAGAACATGAATTCAAATTGACGGCGAAGAAAAAAAAAAAAAAAAAAAAAAACAGTCATCTAATGGTTTTGTCCGTAACTTGTCTGAAAATAGGCGAAAATGCTGATCAGTGTTTTCCAAAGTAAAAGCAGATGTTTGCAAATGTTTTGTAGAAAAAAAATAATTTTCAGATCATTGCTCTTCTTTTACAGCGGACTACAAAAACCAAAATATTTATTGTTGAGAAACTCGAATTTCGAGGATTTACAATATTAAACATGGTCTCTAAACGATTAAATTAATAGTCAAAATATTCATTCCATTATCAAATGAGTTATGATTGGTTGATAAGACTCAGGAACCCACTCAAGGTTCACTTTTGGTGGACTTACTATTTTTTTTTTGTTCTTTTTGTTTTTATAGCAGAGTTATACATCATTTAGACGACATTACACTTGAATTTTGCCTGTAACGCCTTTTTGCCAGCAACACAAAAATTGCCCACGGACATGCCGTCACGACCATGGACAGCTCCTCCCCTGAACGACACCATACACGCGACTGAATTTTAAGATTTGAAACGGTTACAGTTCATTTAAGCAACTGAAACAAATACTGCTCCAAATCCAAATTTGGGCAGACAAGCAAAATATGTTCAAACCAGAAAAGGCTTAGCATATGGGCTAGTTAGCATATTAGGGTCCATTTTATGGCGTTCACTTAAAACAAAATGGAGACTCGCGTATACCTAAGTCTTTTAAAATATGACCGTTTATGCTTCAAAACATCTTTAGTGACATTCGGGGGCGATGCTGACGAGTTACTTAGCAGTTACGAGCAGCTGCTCCAAGGCTTCCGCGTGGCTAACGTTAACATGCTAAGGAAATGCTAAGTAACCGAAGCTTCCTACGCACACCTGCGGGATGGGAAAACAAGTTTAAAAGTGAATTTGAATTGTCTTTGGTACCTGACGAAATAAAGTAGCATCACTGAGATGTTTGAGACGTGTGTCAAAGTGCGGAACAGTGACACATTCACACTAGTCCAACCGCTGCTGATGAAGCTGGTTTGACCGGTGCTACGTTTACGTGGCTAATTCGCAAAGCATGGTGGGGCGGGGGAAACTAAGCGTTATTGTCAAACACGTTGGGATCTTTTTCAAAGTAAAATATAATTACAGTACATAATTTTTTCAGTATTTAAGTCGCCGCATTTGGTAAAAAAATATATATCTAAAAGGTTGTATGTTGCCATTAAAAGGGCTGCCTTTTGCCTTTCAATAACATGTTGCCATTAAAATTATGTCTATCATTTTCCATTAAAATACTGCAGTGCGACATTAGATCTTCAAAGAATGTTTTTTTTGTGTGTCAGTGACATGTAAATACAGACATTTAGGAAAAAGTATGATTTTATTTATTATTTGCACAGTAGGGGGTGATAGTGTACAGCTGATTGAACAAAGGCAACAATGACTTCTTGGCATAAGTGTAATACACACACACACACGCACGCGCGCGCGCGCGCGCACACACACACACACACACACACACACACACACACACACACACACACACATACATACACACATACATACACACACTTTTTGGGATTAGACGGATGCTCTTCCTGTTATATCCCAATGAACTGGAATGATCTCACCAGATGTCCCTGCTTGGAATTTTCCAGTAATAACACCAAATAGGACACGGGGTGATTCTCTTATTTTCTTTCTTTTGTTGTTGTCATTTGGCAAAACAAAAACACAGGAAAAATGACAATGCGCTCCCTTTAATTGTCTTGTGATCCCTGAGAACCTTAAATTTACCACTCCGGAACTGAAATATTTGATGATCAACATGAAAACTTGTGCTACAGAAAAGCTCGGAACAGTTGGAAATTGTAAGACATATCGAAATATTTCTTTGTCACACGTCGAATTTCCAAAATTCTCTCTATATATGTATTTTTTTTTTTTTTTTAAAAAATTGAATAGAAATTTTCATCAGCATGTTTTCAAAAAATATTTGCCAGTCTTTCTTCTATATTGGCGCATTTCACATCCACATTTTTTTTTTTTGGTACATTATGTCTTCTATTTGTTTCCAGAAAATCAATACAATTAGATTTTCTCTCACCATAAATGTTCCCTAAAAAATGACTCTTATTTTACTCGTCATATTTTGTAATGGGCAGACAAAAAATATTGGCCAGTCTCAAAAGGGGCTAACGAAATATCAAAATATGGAGCGTGAAAGTCTCATTTCTTTGTCACAGCTAATATCTCCCATATTTAAACTACCGGTATCTTGTAGAAAAATAACAACTTGAATTAATATTGTTTGCGATGTGACTTGAGGAAAAAAAAGCTGCAAAATTGGGAGATAACACATTTTTCATTGTGGTATCTGAAAATGGACAAAATATATGGAGACTGACGTCTCATTTCTTTGTCAAACCGCCATTTTTTAAGACTGACAAAAGTTGTGGGAAAAAATGATTATCTTCTCATTGACATATTTGGAGAAGGGTGGACAAAAAAAAACATCTTTAGTGACATTCGGGGGCGATGCTGACGAGTTACTTAGCAGTTACGAGCAGCTGCTCCAAGGCTTCCGCGTGGCTAACGTTAACATGCTAAGGAAATGCTAAGTAACCGAAGCTTCCTACGCACACCTGCGGGATGGGAAAACAAGTTTAAAAGTGAATTTGAATTGTCTTTGGTACCTGACGAAATAAAGTAGCATCACTGAGATGTTTGAGACGTGTGTCAAAGTGCGGAACAGTGACACATTCACACTAGTCCAACCGCTGCTGATGAAGCTGGTTTGACCGGTGCTACGTTTACGTGGCTAATTCGCAAAGCATGGTGGGGCGGGGGAAACTAAGCGTTATTGTCAAACCCGTTGGGATCTTTTTCAAAGTAAAATATAATTACAGTACATAATTTTTTCAGTATTTAAGTCGCCGCATTTGGTAAAAAAATATATATCTAAAAGGTTGTATGTTGCCATTAAAAGGGCTGCCTTTTGCCTTTCAATAACATGTTGCCATTAAAATTATGTCTATCATTTTCCATTAAAATACTGCAGTGCGACATTAGATCTTCAAAGAATGTTTTTTTTGTGTGTCAGTGACATGTAAATACAGACATTTAGGAAAAAGTATGATTTTATTTATTATTTGCACAGTAGGGGGTGATAGTGTACAGCTGATTGAACAAAGGCAACAATGACTTCTTGGCATAAGTGTAAT